TGTATCAAGTATGAGCAGGCAATTTTGTTACTAATACGCCATTGATTTTTATGCGTTAACTAGATGGGAACCTTGTAAATATGCAAGCCGGAAATGAAAATGTACGAGGCCGTGAGAGCAGAAGTGGCCTACCCCACAGTTTTTTGTTTGCACTTAACTACGTAAAATAGTAGTGATACATCTTAAAATAAAAGTCGCTTATTTTATGGTAAAAAGCTACAAAACTTACCTTTGAATTAAATAATAAGCGACCTTTAATTTTAAATTTAAAACATTTGAGTACATAGTTAACTATAAAAAGTTGCTTCCACGGCCTCATATAATTTTTTAAAAATATTCAAAGATTTTAAATCAGACGCGATAGTTTATATGTAAAAAGTAATACATTCTTTATTTTTAAATGCTCTTGAAATTTTTTTAATGAGGTGCTAATGTGTGTATCATTTATGACAAACGATAAAGGGGAATTGATTAGGCACAGCGTTGTACTTCTTCCTCTACGAAATGATATTTAGAGTCTGACCGATTAATCGGCATCGGCTAGTATCGCCCAAAAGAATCGACATCTGCATCGGCCGTTTTTGGCCGATTCTTAGCCGATTATTTTTACTTTTGCGCAATTTTAACAAATTTTCATCCAAATTTTAAACTGTTTCATCAGATTTTTTTAGAATTCTTCTGAGTAGCGAGTTTTTTAAACTTTAGTATAATAACAATTGTTTACGATACGAAAATACTTTTATCATTAAAAATCTACGGTTACTGTTTAATAACAAATTATATTCAATACAACACCTTTACAGTAGCAGAAGCTGCATATTTTTACTACTATGAGTACAACTAAGGAACGTGATTTCAAATGAACAGAATAAGAAAATGACTATGCAACAAAGTATTGCAATACACATATTTATGCATAGGTGATATACTACTTTTACAATAAAACATATTTATGTACACTGGCGATCAAAACCGAGTGCATGTAGCATACCTTTTTTATAATAAGCGGATTGCTTTGAAATTTTTAGAAATTGGTCCTTATTATCCAAGGAACATAGCCTAGTATACAGAAAAGCCAAGCTTAAACAAGAAACCAGCGATTCACAGCGAAAACGTATGGCAGCTCTATTCTAAAAAAATCCTAAGGAAATTCTTGTAATATTAAAATAACGTTAGAGTATTTTACTTCATTATATTGCTGCTAGCTTTCACAGGCAGCTTCAAAATGTGAATAATAAAATATGGTAATATCGACACACATCAATTAATTTTTCTGAGTTTGCAACCAATATAAAATAGTGCATCAATCAAATGACATTTCTAAGTAAACATGGAACGTATTTTTTTTTGTGAATTAATAGCTAAGAATCAATAAAAAGTTTGGTGTATTTAAAATATGAATATTTTGAATAAGAAACGCACAATTAATTTGATCGATTGGATTATAAAAACTTCTAATTCGTTTTTCTCAAAACTATACTTTTCATGTTACACTACTTAATTATTCCAGCGACGATTTGTTCTTGAATGAATTTATATTCAGGTAGTTTTTTTTTAAGGAATCGGCATCGGCATCGGCCAAAAATTGGAAATAGGTCGGTCTCTAATAATATATCTTCCATCTTAATATGTTGAACGAAAATATTCAGTGATATATGCAGCAATGCGCTTATTGCTAATAGTTTTTAATTAATAAAATTATTGACTGTCATTTTGAGATATAGAAAATCTCGTTATTCTAATCAGCATAACTTTCCAATTAATCATTTATGCGTTAGGGAATTATTTCAGGGCACACCTAAAAATGTTGCCACAATGACTGGGCGAATACACAATTTTCTCTCTTAAAACATTTAACTTGGCATAGTGATTGACTTGTTTACATTTTTAATTCGTTCCTTTCATTTGACATTCAACAGGTTAACAAACGAGCATCCTAATTAAAATGCAATTAAAAATTGCAAAATTTCAATGGCAACTGACATGAAGCCGAGTTCGCGTGACAACTAATCACGTGATTATCACGCGAACGAATAAAG